TATATATATATATCAACTAAAATTTCTATAAAACCCAGGAAATATCTTCTAAGCTTCCTTTCTCTTAAGTTTTTAATTCTCTCTTTGTACCTTGGAGTCATTTTCAGAGGGCCTTGCAGTCCCCTGATGCAGTGCCAGCAGGGAAGGCAGGACGGGAGAGAATGGTTGCTGCACCCAGGCTGACCTGTGGCTGGTGTGAGACAAAGGAAACAGTCCTAATTAGGGGTAGCTTTCCAGTCTGAGACCGAGAGCAGGAAGATACGAATCTGTGTGAGAGTAGAACAACAGATAGGGCATGAAGAGGAGCACAGAAATCCGAACTGCGCTGATAAAGCCCTGGAACAAGCCAGGGAGATTGGGGTTATGGGTAAAGCTTCAGGAACAACAGAGCAGGTTTTGTGCATCCAGGTCAATAGCAGCAGGTGCCAGATTCAGGGTTAGGAGACCACTGTGGGTCACAAGGGCACAGGGTGCTGCTGTGGCACTGTCGATGTGCCCATGCTCTGCTGACACAGCGCCTCCCCCTACTTTCTGTTCTGCTGCTTTGTGCTTAAGATGCCCATCAAACACTGACTCAAGTCACTTTGTTTTTTGTTAGTTATATCTCTAGGTAACTTCCCAGATGTTCTTTGAAACAATTCTGCTTTCATGTTTTCTTTTATTCCAACATGGATATTGCATGTTCCAGAGCAGAAAACTTGCCTTAAATCTTGTCTCCACCTCTTTTTCTATTCATGTTTTCATTCACACATACTGGTTATATATATAGCTTACTACTTCCATTTTGGAAGACCTGTATAGGTGTGTGACATCCTGTAACTGTCCCCTTCCTCATCACCTCCCTTGCTCCAGGCTCCACCCATCTTTACACTTGGGGGTGTTTGAGGAGCAGAACATTGCTTTGATCATCCTCTGTACGCTGGTGCCTGCCCTCCTACCCTATACCCCCTTCTTCCCTTCCATTCTGGTAGTAGTGTCCCTTCTACTTTCTGTCATTATTTTTAGATTCTACGAACTGCAAAGAATGTGTAATATTTGTCTTTCTGAGTTTGGTTTATTCATTCAACATGATCTCTAGATTCATCCATTTTGTGCAAATGACAAATTTTCAGTCTTTTTAATTTTTTTCTTTTTTTGTGCAGGGTCTCACTACGCAGCTCGGACTCATAGTGATCCTCCTGTTTTCTGCCTTCCTAGTACTGGGATTGCCGGCATGCACCACCACGCCCAGTCTCTTTAGTCTTTAATTATGATTACGCCACATTTTTTTCACCCATTCATCTCTTACTGGTTACCTAAGCTGGTTCCACCTCTTGCTTCTGTCCAGCAAAAAGCTCAAACACTCTGAACTCCTGTTTTCTTATCTGGAAAATGAGGATAATGTTAATGTTTTTAATGAGGGTTAAGTGAGATGATGCAGAGTGCTGGCCCTGCAGGCTCCTAGAATTTGCCACAGACAGCAGTAGCTGTTGCCTTGATAACATATAAGACATAGTTGGACTTTCACTGGTGAAACCAAAGACTTCATGAGGCTGTTGGATACACTTGTTTCATATTCTTAGTCCTATGTAGGCAAAAGCTGAGCACCTAAGTGGCCAGTAAATGTTTCATTTGATGTGCCTAATCAAAACTGTTTTTCTTTTAACTTTCTGCTCTTCTTAGTGATTAATTGATCTTGGATTAAACCTTTCTTAATACCTAATCTATAATAAAAGCAGAGTTTAAATTTATCATGCTGAGAATGTTGTGATTTAATTGATAAGACATTTGCTTTACAGTCATACTTTCTCATTTTTGGCTTTTAAAACCTTGGCATTTGTAGGTTAAGTATCTGTTTACATAAATACCTTTTTGTGATTTGGTGAATGAGTTTGGTATCCATTCAGTGTTAACGGTCTCTCATTGCTGTCGTGGTATTCTGGCACATTACGGGTGCTGTCTCATGGAAAGGCCTCTCCCTGTCCTCGGGCACCAAGGTGAACAGCTTTACATGTGCCTTGCTAGACTTAGGCCACCTGTGCCATTGGAATTAACTGACACTTTGGTCCTTAGAAGCCAACAGAGCTCGGATTTCTGGTTTGTAAACTATAAACCATCACTTATGATTGGTACCGATTTTCACTGGTATATCCATGTATAGTACATCTTCTCATTCTGAAAGGAATCCTCTTACTGCCAAAGAAAATGATTTATGCTGTTTTTAAATTCAACTTAAAACTGAAATTTTTTAACTCTTATCTTTTGGATTTAAAATGTTTATATATCTTGAGGTATTTAAGATGGTTTATCTTTTCAGTCTATTTAATTGCTTTTAGGATATAAACACATTTGCTGCATACATATGTAGATTTTTGAAGTCACAAAAATAGGATTAAACAAGCTTCCTGTACTAAACCCAGCCAGGGCCACATGCATGCTAGGCAAGCACTCTACCACTGAGCTGCATTTACACCCCAGAAACATTTGTAAGTTTGCTTTTTCACCAAAATTTGGAGTCTTAGAATGAGAAATTTAAATAGTGTAGTCACCTGTCTCACTTGTCTCAGTAGGTCAGCAGTTATAGGTTCACGTCTAATGCAGGGAAGGAGTCTTCTGTCGGTTTTGGTGAAGTAAATTCTGTTTTCTTTCCATTTCTACAGCAGTGTCGCCTATGCAGAGATGTAAGGGAAGTAAAGCCATCTTTCAGAAATAAATGTTAGGTGTGGACAGTATTATACCTCCAGTTAGTTTTAAGAATTTAGAAAAGTCATTATGTTACTTATATTTTAAAGAAGTAATTTATCAATGAAAACTTAAGCAGTTTTATTGTAAATACTTGCTTTTATTGCTCACAGTTCATTTTTCTAAAATACCAGATTTTTTTCATGTACATATATTTTTTTCCTGACATTCTATATATATTAAAACCACGATATATTATTATGTGAGTCCTTTTGTCCTTTGTTCCAGATTCTTATCAAAGTAATAGACACAAATGACCATCGTCCTCAGTTTTCCACTTCAAAATACGAAGTTGTTATTCCTGAAGATACAGTGCCAGAAACAGAGATTTTGCAAGTTAGTGCTGTAGATAAGGATGAGAAAAACAAGCTAATCTACACTCTCCAGAGTAGTATAGACCCATTGAGTCTCAAGAAATTTCGTCTGGATCCTGCAACGGGCTCTCTTTCTACTTCTGAGAAGCTTGATCATGAAGCTGTTCACCAGCATGTTCTTACAGTCATGGTAGGGCTTCTGTTCATTCTTCTGCCCATTTGGTCTTATGTGTTTGAGAATAACAGTGATTTTTTTTTTTTTTTTTTTTTTTCATAAGAAAGAAAAATCCCAAAAGACTAAAATGTGTTGAATGATTCTTCTAGGTACGGGACCAGGATGTTCCTGTCAAGCGCAACTTTGCAAGGATTATTGTTAATGTCAGTGACACAAATGACCATGCCCCATGGTTCACCAGTTCTTCTTATGAAGGGCGGGTTTATGAATCAGCAGCTGTTGGCTCAGTTGTGTTACAGGTTACAGCTTTGGACAAAGATAAGGGGAAAAATGCTGAAGTGGTCTACTCAATTGAATCAGGTATTTTTTGAGTTTTCTTCAAGTTTTTACTTTGTATATGTTAAAATATATTTCTGTTCTAAAATTCTAGATATAACATTTCTATGTATTGTTGCAGATTGTTTCAGATCTTTATCTGCCATTTTACATGCTAGTAAAAAGAAGGAATACTTTTAAATTTTAACCCTTTAGAGAGAAAGGTAGGGTCTCAGTAAGCTTAGATACCTATAGTTCCTGGAGACTCATAATATTAGCATAATAGCAGATTTTGGAGAAATTCTGCAGAAAGGCATGTTTTATTTGACTAATTCACTATTTCTGAAATTATGTTAACTCTAGTCATTCTCCTATAAACTATTGATTAGCTGTGATACACTTAAAAATCCTGGCCTTATAATTGAACATATTACCTTTTATCAGAGAGTATTTTCTCTTGGATAGAGCATGGGATTTTTGGACAGAATGCTGATTTAGCCAGTTCTTCTTGAGGATGATTCTCAGAACAAGGGTCTTACTTCTTGGACACCCTTGCCCTGACACACACTTTCACCTCCATCCATTCTTAAAAGTTAAGCTTCACGCATAAAATTGAAATTGTTGCAGTCAGTCACAGAGAAGGCCCTGCAACTAGAAACAAAGGTTGAGGGGCCTGCAGTGCCTGGCCTGAGAGCAAAAGGGACAGGAAGGCCACCTGGAACTGTGGGCCTAGGCAACTATGGATAGGTAAGATCAGGTAGAAGTCCAGGGACCTGCTGATGATAACAAGAATGCCTACCATGAAGTGCTCACAGCAGCGTGAAGTGTTTTTATTCTCTGTTCTGTTCATGCTCTGACCACTCATTCATGTATTCATTCCGTGGACTAATGGAGCTCATTTTCTATGCCATGGAAGAGGCATTCATGCTTGTTTGACAGGGATCCCACTGGTTCACAGGTGTGTGTGTTGGATAGGAATGTGCTTTAGAGTACATGATTAAACAGAAATTACACTGCGTTGGGATTTTTTCCTACTCATGCCGAATAGCATGAGTAGCTGATGATCATAATGGTGAAAAGACAGTTTAGTTTCCCACCTTCTTCAGTGCCATTTGTCTAAGTTACTTTTCTCTCATTGCTGGAACAAAATACCTGACATCCAAAATTAAAGAAGGAAAGGTTTATTTAGCTCAGTACTTTTGAAGTTTTCAGTCCATACTCAGCTGGCTCCAAGGCAGAGTGGCATATGACCGAGGGCAGCCATTCATTGCAGCGGAAAATAGCAAACAAGAGCAAAAAGGAGGCATATGGGCAACAACAGCAATAGAGAGCAAGTTTCTCTCCCTTAAGTTGCATTCAAGCTGTCCGCCTCAGGCTGGGTGTAGCACTCACACCCATAATCCCAGCAGTACTCACACCCAAAATCCCAGCAGCACTCACATCCGTAATCCCAGAGCTGGATCATGAATTAATCACAAAGTCTAGAAGTCTGCCTCATGGTTGCATGAGGGTTTGAGGGAACAACTAGTCAAAGCTGCAACACCATTGTTAGTACAAGAAATATAGTCTCTTTCTTCTGTGTTTGTAAAGATCTTAGGAAATTGCAGTCTTCCTCTTGACTTTTTAAAGTCCAGAGCTCACCCTGTTTAGAATTGATCTCTCCTAGACATTATAATCAGTAGAGATTTAGTTTACCTGTATATCACATAATGAAAATCTGAGTAAGTGGAGAGTAATTTTAACAAAATACTTACCAGTATGCTTTATGTAGTTAAATTATATTTATTTTTTTACACATTTGAAATTTCAGTTGTCTCCCTTAACACAACCGAATTGAGTTTATTACTCACAAATAACATTTTATGAACTGCCTGTGATTGCAGTGTTAAAATGCGTTGTAGTTTAGTTAGTGCCTTGAATAAAGATGGAGTGTTTTTCCATTGCCGCCGAAATTTCAGTTAGAAAAACAGTGCATTCCTGTTGTGCATGCCTGAGCATTTCAATAAGTAATGTTGTCGTAGACAAACTGACTGCATTTGTGTAGGCGAAAACGTTACACTTTCCCTGAGCCTTCACATAATTTTCAACAACTGGGTGGTTAAAACATGATTGTTGGTGTTGGCGAAAGGCATGTGCATTCTTTGAATACTTTTAATGACTGATGGGATTAGTAATTTGGTATTCTAAGAATGGAATTCTATCTCCCTTCAAAGACTAGATGGACCATTGGACTGTTCAATATGAAACTGGGACTTCTAAAATTTTTTTAAAACACTTTTTTTTTTAAAGGGAAACAAATACTTTATTTTTTTTTATTTATTTGAGAGAGAGAGAGAGAGAGAGAGAGAGAGAGAGAGTGTGGTGTGTGTGTGTGGCCAGCTCAGCCCACCAGGGGGCGGGGCTGGCTGGTATGTGGTGCTGGGGGATCGAACCGCGGTCCCATGCTTTAGCTAAGCTTGTTCTAATTAGGTGCTTTAGACCACTGAGCCATCTCTCCAGCCCCTTAAAACACTTTTGACAGTATGGATCTATGGTAAACAGATTCTTTATAGGAAATCACTACTATTACTATAGAGTAGATGTGTATTGTGTACATCTCATAGTACAGTGCAAACTAAAATATTCATGCTGCATTTCATTTCAGGTATTCATAATCAGCTGCTTCCAATGTGTGGCAGATTACATTTAATAAAGTTCAAAAGATGAATTATAAATTCCATCCATGGCACTGCATGTTTAATTAGCAGCAGTTTATTGAGCAAAAGGTTTAGTCTGATTAGAAGTCTTTAGGGAAAAAGTAATTTAATTAAAAGATATTTTCAGTAACAATTGAGTTATGTGTTAGAGATACATCATCCCCATATGCTGTATGGTGTTTTCTTTTATGTCATTTAAAAATGTAGACTGTTTGGGTTCTCCTTCTATCATAATGGACATTCATGAAATATATTTATTGATGAGTGTTGGTTTCCTTCCATAAACATAGGTTAAATGTAGTTAAAAATTCAAATGTAGGGGCTGGGGAGATAGCGTGGAGGTCTAAGAGCCTGCCTGGCAAGCACAAGGACCAGGTTCAATCCCTGTACCACATGCTGTGCTGGCCACAGAAAACTGGGCATGGTAACACACACCTGTAATCCCAGTGCTGGGGAGGCTGAGACAGAAGGATCACTATGAGTCTGAGCTGTGTAGTGAGAGCCTGTACCAAATAAATAAAGGATAAGGTTTTTTATTATTATTCAAATGTGGAAGAGACTGCAACATTATCATTAGGCCTTCTTGAACACCTAAAGATTGTCAGCCATGGGAAGAAATAGACTTGGCCTCCATGTCTCCTTTAGGCATCCAGTAGGTTAGAAACAGACAGTATGATCATAAGTTAGGGGTAAAAATTGGCTTATTTTCTCAGACAGTTTTCCTATTTAAATACAGCAAACAATTTGAGATGATATTGTTTCAGCTTAAGTGAAGGAGTAAGCTCCCAACCTAGAACAAACTCTTCTGGCACACTGCCTTATTAATTCCTTTACAAATACTGTGCCTGAATGTTCTTATTAGAAGGGACACGTTTGTCCCAATCAGTAGCTGTCATCGTTTCTTATGAAAATGTGACATTGTTGCTTTCTGCTGTATGAATCTCTTCTTTTTGCTTTAGGGTTTCTGTTTAACTTTGTTATCAGTGAAAAGCTCAGGGCCAGCTATTTCAGTAGGGATACTCCAAATGGAAAAGAATGTTTCCACATTTCACAGTGAGTGGATAAAGAACAAGGTTTTTAGACAGAGTAGGAAGGAAAACAAGGTAAAGTACATGCAGCCGCCCTGAATAAGGATGTTAGGAGTGCCTCACAAGCACACTGTATGCAAGGCCATCAGGCTTTCAGAAGAGCTGGGCAAAGCTGTTCCACGAAAGCGCTTAGCAGGAGCCTAGGCCCAGACATGGAGAGGGTGCCCCCCGTGGAGGAGCAGGGAGGCCATCCGCATGGCTACAGGCAGGTGCAAGTTTTGCAGAAGGCAGTGCGTGCTGACACCAGCAGCCTGCGTCAGCACCAAGAAAGACAGTTCCTGCCTTCACTTTGAGGCCTTACAGACTTGAAACTTTACTGGCAAAGTAAGATTTCACTTTAAAAAATAAGACAGAAAAACATGTAGATAAATGAGTATAAAGTTGACAGTTTAGCTGCTTTAGAAGTATACGTACAGGGAGACCTGAGAGGTGGGGATAAAGAGAGCTGCCAAGGGTCACCCTGTTCTCTCCTGTTGGGCCATGTAATCCATTGCAATTTTGGAAGTGAGTGTGATGCACAGGTAGGATGGGAAAAGGATTTTTGAGCTCTGATAAACAATATGCAATGAAAGTGAATTTCTCCTAGATACAGACAGGCCAGACATGAGTGTCTGAGCACCTGGCAGCAGCAGCTGAGCCCTGATCTTGGGCCAGGGCTCAGGCCCTGGGAGAGCCTGGATCTCTTCCCTGCTGCAGACAGAGGCTCTGCTTTGGGGCCCGGACTCAGAGCCAGGCAGACTTAATGAAAACCAGGCGAGGTCTGGCCTTGGAAAAATCGTCATTGAGTTTTGTAAAATGTATTAAAGGAAGGAAATGAGGGCTGTATCGGAAGTGTTGACTGTAAATGATAGGGACAGAGACGTGCTTGGTGAACGTCTAGTTCGCAGATCACACTGAGTAGCTTTGGTCTGTGAAATGCCATATTTACCACAAATCTAGAAGAATAGGAATTTGATGCAGCAGTTAAGTGGCCAGTGAATTTTTGTTTTGAGTAAGTGAAATAGTTCATTAGAGGAAAACAAACTCAGAACTGAGACTAGGATACTGAATTCAGGGTGCTTGTTCATAAGAGGTGAAGGATGGAAGGCTCAAGGATGGATATGAATTCATTATCTCTTGATCCTAGCCAGAAGGACTGCGGAAAACTGGTTTCTTCAAAAGATGCAGAACTGGGATATTGCGAGTATGGTCTGAAAAGACAAGAAAATCGAGGGGGGACTCTGTCTTAGAAGCTTGTTTCTCAGCCTCAGCACTGTTGTTATTTTGGGCCAGATAACTTCCCCAGTTGGAGAACCATGCAGTGCACTGTTGGATGTTCAGCAGCCTCTCTGATCTCTTCCCACAAAATGTCACTAGCACCTTTTCCCCTCCAAACTATGGCAATCACAGGTGTCCTCAGATGTTTTGCTGGAAGCAAAATTGCCCCTGGAGAAGCATTATAGAAGGAGTTTGAGGGGCTGTTAGAAAACTGACTGCTTCATGGATATATGATTGTCCATAACACTTTCCTAGTTAGCAGGTGACATTATTTGTTTCTCGCTTTTCATAATTTATGGCCACAATTCTGAAAAGCATGCCTTGTCTTAGTTGGATAAAAATGGAACAAGTTCTAGGTCTCATTCAAATGCTGCTATCACCTACATCTCTGCATACTTCTAAAGACTTTTTTTTTTCTTTTTTTTTTTTTTGTATTTTAGGGAAGGGTCCACACGGTGTTCAGGGCCTATTGACAGCCTCTCAAGAGCTGGGGTTACAGGCGTGCACAACCTGCCTCAATTGCCAGCTCAGCGTGCCCCAGGGGTGGGGCCAACACGGCAGGCCAGGAACTAAAGACAGTTTTTAGAGATACCTTTGTTTCTGTTTTTTTAATAACTTCTCGTTTTTCCTTTAATATGCATTTTTTCTCCCCTTCTAGGAAATATTGGAAATTCTTTTACAATTGACCCCATCTTGGGCTCTATAAAAACTGCCAAAGAATTGGATCGAAGTCATCAAGAGGAATATGATTTAATGGTAAAAGCTACAGATAAAGGCAGTCCACCTATGAGCGAAATGACATCAGTACATATCTTTGTCACCATTGCTGACAATGCCTCTCCTAAGTTCACATCAAAAGAGTACTCCCTTGAAATTAGTGAGACCATCAGCATTGGCAGTTTTGTTGGAATAGTTACAGCCTATAGTCAATCATCAGTGGTATATGAAATAAAAGATGGAAATGCAGGGGATGCTTTTGCTATCAATCCGCATTCTGGAAGTATCATCACTCAGAAAGCCCTGGATTTTGAAACTTTGCCCATGTATACATTGATAGTACAAGGAACCAACATGGCTGGTCTGTCCACTAACACAACTGTTCTAGTGCATCTGCAGGATGAGAATGACAATGCTCCAGTTTTTATGCACGTAGAATATTCAGGACTCATTAGTGAATCAGCTTTAGTTAATAGTGTGGTCCTAACAGACAGGAATGTCCCATTAGTGATTCGGGCAACAGATGCTGACAAAGAATCTAATGCAATGCTTGTTTATCACATCGTGGAACCGTCTGTGCACAAATACTTTGCTATTGATTCTAGCACCGGTGCTATTCATACAGTGCTGAGTTTGGACTACGAAGAAACAAGTGTTTTTCACTTTACTGTCCAAGTACATGACATGGGTACACCACATTTGTTTGCTGAATATGCAGCTAATGTGACTATACAAGTAATTGACATTAATGATTGCCCTCCTGTGTTCTCCAAATCATTATATGAAGCATCTCTTTTGTTGCCAACATACAAAGGAGTAAAAGTTATCACAGTGAATGCTACAGATGCTGATTCCAGTGTATTTTCACAGTTGATGTACTCCATCACCGAAGGGAACATTGGGGAGAAGTTTTTTATGGACTACAAGACTGGCACTGTAACCATACAAAACACAACTCAGTTAAGAAGCCGTTATGAGTTAACCGTTCGAGCTTCTGATGGCAGGTTTGCCAGCTTCACGTCTGTGAAAATTAATGTGAAAGAAAGCAAAGAGAGTCAACTAAAATTTACCCAAGATTTCTACTCTGCAGTAGTGAAAGAGAACTCTACTGAAGCTAAAACATTAGCTGTCATTACCGCTGTTGGGAATCCAATTAATGAGCCTCTATTCTACCACATCCTCAACCCAGATCGCAGGTTTAAAATCAGCCGCACTTCTGGAGTGCTGTCAACCACTGGTATACCATTTGATCGTGAACAGCAGGAGGCATTTGATGTGGTGGTAGAGGTGACAAAGGAACATAAGCCTTTTGCAGTGGCCCATGTTGTTGTCAAAATAACCATAGAAGACCAAAATGATAATGCACCAGTGTTCATCAACCTTCCATACTATGCCATTGTTAAAGTGGATACTGAGGTGGGCCACGTCATTCGCTGTGTCACTGCTGTAGACAGAGATAGTGGCAGAAATGGGGAAGTACACTACTACCTTAAGGAGCATCATGACCACTTCCAAATTGGACCCTCAGGTGAAATTTCACTGAAAAAGCAGTTTGAACTTGACACCTTAAATAAAGAGTATCTTGTTACAGTGGTTGCAAAAGATGGAGGAAACCCAGCTTTCTCAGCTGAAGTCATAGTTCCTATCACTGTTATGAATAAAGCCATGCCTGTGTTTGAGAAACCTTTCTACAGTGTAGAGATTGCAGAGAATATCCAGATGCACAGCCCGGTTGTCCATGTACAAGCCAACAGTCCAGAAGGGTTGAAAGTATTCTATAGCATCACAGATGGAGATCCTTTCAGCCAGTTTACTATTAACTTTAATACTGGAGTTATAAATGTCATAGCTCCTCTGGATTTTGAGTTGCACCCAGCATACAAGTTGAGCATACGAGCAACTGACTCTTTGACTGGTGCTCATGCTGAAGTATTCGTTGATATAATAGTGGAAGACATCAATGATAACCCTCCTGTGTTTGCTCAGCAATCTTACAGTGCAACCTTATCTGAGGCATCTGTAATTGGAACATCTGTGATTCAAATTAGGGCAACAGATTCTGATTCAGAACCCAACAGAGGAATTTCATACCAGATATTTGGAAATCATAGCAAGAGTCATGATCATTTTCATATAGACAGTAGCACAGGTCTCATTTCATTACTTAGAACCTTGGATTATGAACAATACCAGCAACACAAGATTTTTGTAAGGGCTATTGATGGTGGAATGCCCCCACTCAGCAGTGATGTGATTGTTACAGTAGATGTCACTGACCTCAACGATAATCCCCCAGTCTTTAACCAACAAATTTATGAAGCCAAAATTAGTGAGCATGCAACCCATGGGCATTTTGTCATGTGTGTAAAAGCCTATGATGCAGACAGTTCAGATATAAACAGGTTGGAATATTCCATTCTGTCTGGCAATGATCATAAAAATTTTGTCATTGACAGTGCAACAGGAATTATCACACTCTCAAACCTTCGCCGGCACACCTTGAAGCCATTTTACAATCTTAATGTTTCTGTTTCTGATGGGGTTTTTAGAAGTTCAGCTCAGGTTCATGTGGCTGTCATTGGAGGCAATTTGCACAGTCCTGTTTTTCCTCAGAATGAGTATGAAGTAGAACTAGCAGAAAACGCCCCTGTGCACACCCTGGTCATTGAGGTTAAAGCAGCTGACAGGGATTCTGGTATTTATGGTCACATTACTTACAATATTATAAATGACTTTGCCAAAGACAGATTTTACACAAATGAGAAAGGACAAATATTTACTTTGGAAAAGCTTGACCGGGAGACCCCTGCAGAGAAAGTAATCCCAGTTCGATTAATGGCAAAGGATGCAGGAGGAAAAGTTGCTTTCTGCACCATTAATGTCATCCTTACAGATGACAATGATAATGCACCGCAGTTCCGAGCAGCCAAGTATGAAGTGAACATTGGCTCCAGTGCTGCCAAAGGAACATCAGTCTTGAAAGTCTATGCCAGCGATGCTGATGAGGGGTCCAATGCTGACGTCACTTACGCCATTGAAGCAGATTCTGGAAGTGTTAAGGAGAATTTGGAAATTAACAAACTAACTGGTGTAATTACTACAAAGGAAAGCTTAATTGGCTTGGAAAATGAGTTCTTCACATTCTTTGTTAGAGCTGTGGATAATGGGTCTCCACCCAAAGAATCTGTTGTTCCTGTCTATGTTAAAATACTTCCACCAGAAAAACAGCTTCCACACTTTTCAGAGCCATTTTATACCTATACAGTTCCAGAAGACATGCCTATCGGGACAGAGATAGATCTCATCAGAGCAGAGCACAGCGGAACTGTTCTTTACAGTCTGATCAAAGGGAATACTCCTGAAAGTAATAGAGATGAGTTCTTTGTTATTGACAGGCAGAGTGGAAGGCTAAAGCTAGAGAAGAGCCTCGATCATGAGACAACCAAGTGGTATCAGTTTTCCGTCCTTGCCCGGTGCACTCACGATGACTATGAGGTGGTGGCCTCTGTGGATGTGAGCATCCAAGTGAAAGATGCCAATGATAACAGCCCGGTCTTGGAATCCAATCCGTATGAGGCATTTATTGTGGAAAACCTACCAGGGGGAAGTCGAGTCATCCAAATCAGGGCATCTGACCTAGATTCAGGAATGAATGGCCATGTGATGTATAGTCTAGACCAGTCCCAGAGTGTAGACATCATTGAATCCTTTGCCATTAATATGGAAACAGGCTGGATTACAACTCTAAAGGAACTTGACCATGAAGAGCGAGCCAATTACCAGATTAGAGTGGTTGCATCAGATCATGGTGAAAAGGTTCAGCTGTCCTCCACAGCCATTGTGGATGTCACGGTCACTGATGTTAATGACAGTCCGCCACGCTTCACAGCTGAGATTTATAAAGGGACAGTGAGTGAAGATGATCCACCAGGGGGAGTAATTGCCATCTTGAGCACCACAGATGCTGATTCTGAAGAGATTAACAGACAAGTTACATACTTCATAACAGGTAAAAAATTCAAACTGATTTAAAACTGGAATGTATTAGAAATAAGTTTGATATGTATTTTGTGGAAATTGGGGATTAGAGAGAAGATTTTAGTTAATATCTAAAATAAGTTAAATTAATATAAACACATTTAAGCTGCATTTCAAGTTCTTTGCCTAAAGCCAAGCTAATGACTTTATTAGTGCTTTTTATTTTTATGACTCATTTTTATTGGATTTTATACTTAAAGCATGATAAATATAATTATAAGGAAATAACGTTAGCTTTAGTGAAACCTGGATTGTTGTTTAGCAGTCTTGTATTTGGCTTACTAATATTGAAACTTACAGTTTAATGCTAATGTTTTTTGTAAGTAGAAAAGCTCATATATATGTTGTTTATTTTTAATCTTTTAAAGATAACATGCATCTTTTATACAATTTTTTCTGGTTTTTTCTGTTATTTATTTCTCTAATTTAACAACTTGATATCTTCCGTCAATTTAATAGGAGGAGATGTTTTGGGACAGTTTGCTGTTGAAAATATACAGAATGAATGGAAGGTCTATGTGAAGAAACCTCTAGACAGGGAAAAGAAGGATAATTATCTTCTGACTATCACAGCAACTGATGGAACCTTTTCATCAAAAGCTATAGTTGAAGTGAAAGTTCTAGATGCAAATGACAACAGTCCAGTTTGTGAAAAGGTAGGCTGTGCTTTTCTTATGCATATGTGCTGCGAATTTACAGTTTTTAATCCTTCTAGTAGGACTGTTATTCTATGCTGTATTACTGTTGTAATTCAAATGTGTTTTCTATTATAATCACTTACTTTTAGCAGAGGTGATTGTTAGATGGAGCATGACTTGGAAAGACTTCAGAATTATTTTGCAGAATGTGAATGCATCTAAAACCTCATTTAAAAAATAAAACCTCATTTAAAATAGGATTATGGATTAATTACAGGATTACAGTTGTCTAACTAAAATGCTCTGTAAACTTTGCGTGAAGTGTTTCCTTCATTGGGACTAAGGCTATTTTGGGGGAAACATCTGGCCATGCTTTACCAGATGATTTTGCTCTTCTCCACTGCAGAGGAACTGAGAGGATGGTAAAGTAGCTTTTGTACCTGTGGAGCTCACATTTAATGAGTGATACAGCTGGAGAAAAGCTGAATCCCTCCGGGCTTTGGCTGAGACTAGCATAGCTGGGCAGGAGAGGGCCCTGGTGCTGGGAGTGAGGGCACATTGTTCAGAGACAAGGCTCTAGAAAGTGGCCCCCAGGAGTAGTGATTTGTCGCCCAGCAGCAGAGGTGAAAAGGCCGTAGAGAATGAGAAGGATGGTAGGTGTGGGGTGAGCCACTTAGTTTGCCAAAAGTTGGAGGTACTCGGTCCTGGAAAGGGAGTGTGTGTAGGGGGCAAACTGGGTTAGAGAGAGATGTGAAGGCCATGCCACAGAATTAGAACTCCAGCCTAGAAAATAGAGACAGACTCTGAATTCTTTATTCAGAAAGAATAGAGATGGTACTACTTGAATTCCATAAAGAAGTTCAGTTTGATAAAGTTAGGTCCATTATTTGGACATAGAGAAAAGAAAATGGGATAACAGAACAGGGAGAGATGACATAAGAATGAAAGGATCAAAGATATATCCAGGACAAGGCGGTAGCACTCCATTCCTCTCTGGAATGACAGTGTGCCGAGTGTGTTAAGCAAGACTCAAATTTCCTAGGAATGTAAGGAGAACAATCAAAGCAGTGACAGAGATAACCTGGAGTGGGAGTTGGTTATAGAGGAAGCACACACAATCTGTGGCCTGGAAGAAAATGATGCTTTCGGTTGATGTGTGAGATGGTGAGACCATGGAAGGGATCTCAGGGAAAGATGTGAACTCAGCAGTTCCTGCAGGTAGCTGATGGTGAATTCATTTGTGAAAAGGATAACAACAAAAAAGGGGAAAAATAAAGACAGATATTTCCAAAGGACAGAGGAAGCAGGGTGGGAGGAAGAAAAAGGTACCGTTGCAGCGCTGCTGCGGATGACAAGCAGACATCCTAAGTGGCAGGGTGCCAAGCAGAGGTGGCATAGCTAAAGCAGATGGTCAGGTTGTGATGCGGGCCTTTTGAATACTGTCCCTAACTTGCAGACGGTGGGCTTAAGGTCGTAATGTGGGCTGCCTGCTACAAGCAACGAAGTGTGTGTTAAAGGTTTGGCCAGTGAAGAGGACAGAGTAGAGGAAGATGAGGAGCGCGTCTGGTAGCAGCAGGCTGAGGCTGGTAGGGCGGGAGCATGTGTGCGGTGCACAGTGCAGTCAGAACGCTGCCAGCATGGAGAGCGCCGGCCCCATTCTCAGGGCACGTAACGTCTGGTCCTGAGGGGAAGCAGGAGTTCATTCCAGTCAGTAAGGACACTTTTTGGTGACAGTGCTTGGCAGGGTTGGGCTGTGTATGTTACTTCCTTTTTTGAGAAGCAAAGTATACATGCTTGCTTTCTAGCACTCTGCTGTCACTTGAATGTGTAAGACATGAGTGGCAAAAAAAAAAGTACTGCAATACAAGACCTATCATCATGAATCCCCCTCAGAATCCCCCCTCACTTTGAATATGTTTAGCCCATGGGTTCTTGATTCTCAGAAGCAGTTCCAGAAGTCCTTTTAATGATTTTAGTTACACTATTGTGGTTGCATGGCTGCTCTAAACTTTTTCAAAATGCTTACCCATCATGATGATTTTGACTTCAAGGAAGTTTCATGGTGCTATATCTGATGAATTGAGTGGGAAGGACAAAGCACATTGGTTTTTTGCATCTGTCTTTCCATTATATTGAATTTACCATATTTTTGTTTACACTTCATACAGACACTCTTGGAAAGGATTCTAGAAAACTTGAAGTGGCACGAACAAAGAGATGGGTGTATTCAAAGCTTTGGGGCTAGTGCTTTGAGGAGAATTAATGGCAATGTGTTACAACGTTTTTTAAAAATTTAAGCATCACTGCATTTTGATCCGCCCTCATATAACCATATCATCTTTGGAAATAAAATCAGAGACAAGACCATATGAATTAGAGTGTTATAAAATATACTGTTTGATGAGTTACAAAATATCTCCCCTGTAATTGAGAGCTCATATTAAGAAAGTTAAGTACAGCTGTCTTAGACTGTTTCTCTTGTTTCCATTTATGGGATGGATTCCTTAATGATAGGCACATTGTAAAGTTTAGTGCAAATGTGAAGAAAGGGTTAGGACATTAGGGGGGCCAGAGCTTTGCCTGTCCCCCTGTGGCCTTGGAGAAATTTTTGTTTTCTCCTATGACAGGAAGATTCCCTTCTCTCCAGTGTAATTATTGGGTCATGTGATACAAACAGGTGCACTATAGGAAGAAATTCCTATAGTTCGACATATACAACAATCATATAGTTTCTAATTTTTAGGTAAATGTAAATACTATTGACATTTTCTTACAAGAATTTAAACTAAACATAAAACTGGCTTAACAGAGTATCTAGGACTGTGCTGGTGACCACCAGGCTCTTGTGGAGGAGCACAGCATTTAACGTAGATGGCTCCCTTGTGGTGTAGATGTGTTTTGTGAGAAACGGTTGGTCGAGCTCTTTGAATTTAATTTCAGTTTTCTAATATATATAGATATATTTTCTGTGGTGAAAATAGAATGTTATTTCCTCAACAGTTACTGTTGACTTTTAATGTTTTTATTGTTAACAATGTGGTTTAAAATCTTCTTAGACTCTGTACTCAGATAGCATTCCTGAAGACGTGCTTCCTGGGAAACTGATTATGCAGGTCTCTGCTACGGATGCAGACATCCGATCCAACGCTGAAATCACCTATACGTTATTTGGTTCAGGTGCCGAAAACTTCAGACTAAATCCAGACACAGGTAATGCTGGAGTTGGGCATACATTTCATTGGGCATTCCAACAAAATCATGCTGTATGTTGGTGATTTTAGATCATTTGCAAATTTGGAAATTACATTTTGTCCTGTACAGATTTACTCTGATAGGAAATTAATTATGTTTTAAACATTTAAGCAGCAATTTAATGTGTAAATTTTAAATTGCTCACTCATTAGGGGCTAGGATTTAAAAAATAGCAACAAAGTCACCTCCTTGAACTAAAGATTTAATGTTGAGAGCAAAAGGTTTAGAAGATTTTAGAAGATTTTTTCTAGATGATTTTTGTAACCTTAGTAAAATATATCTCAGACTTTTTGCTAGGCCTGTTTTATTTATATAGCATGGTTTTTTTTTTTTTTGATTTATGACTATAGATTTGTAATTTAGTGTTTTATAATTAAAATAATCCATGATATTTGATTTCTTAGAATTGTTTTTTTTCTTTTAATTTGTACTTTGTTAAAATTGGGGTCAAATAATTTTTATTAAACATTTTTATTACCCTCTGGAGAACTAATTATAAATCTGTGAGTGCATTTTTAAGTAAGTTTTAAATTTGATAAATTAGGGGCCAGGGAGCTAGCTCAGTATAATAACCGCTTAAGTTCCCGAGTTCAATCCTCAGTACAGCAAATATAAAATCAAATAAAATAAATAAATTTGATAAATTAGGTAGCTGCTTCACTTATGCAGAACTGCTTGTAAGGTAAGAGACCCTCAAGAGCCCACCCCAGCAGGTTCTGCCGTGCTCCTGAAGCTGCTGCATCTGTCGGTAATGAACTGTCTCCAGACAGAGGCTGTGAAGAGTTTGTAATTTTAAGAGAAAACAGGCAGAAAGGCACAGCACTTACAGTTCACACCCTAAATTCCAAGTGAGTACAATTGCTTTTGCTTACATTTAGGTGAGCTGAAAACACTAGTCCCCCTGGATCGTGAGGAGCGTGCAGTTTATGATCTTCTGGTCAAGGCCACAGACGGAGGTGGGAGATTCTGCCAGGCGAGTGTTGTGCTCACAGTAGAAGATGTGAACGACAACGCCCCCGAGTTCACTGCTGAGCCTTACACCGTTACTGTGTTTGAAAACACAGAGCCCGGCACTCCACTGACCCGCGTGCAGGCCACAGACGCTGACACAGGTACCCTCTACCCGTGCCCTTGGGCTGCTGACGGCTGGAGGGCAGCTGCTTTAGAGCACACCCCGACGCAGCCAGTGTGCCCTGCTTTGTCTTATGTGTGCTTTATGATGCATTTATGATGAATATTTGAAGTCTCAAAATTAGACCCAGAGAACTCACTGCTATCTGATATCTGTAGGATGAATAAAATTCTGCATAGTAACTTTTATCAAGTGAATTAATTTGTAGTGTTATTGTCTCTGAACTATTAGTGCCTTAAAATAATTTTAGTGCCAAAGGAATATAACAAAAACCAATACTGTATGTTCAGTTTTACAAATCTTTCAGTTTTTTATGGAAAAAATAAGATGAAGATATATTATTCATAGCATTTTGATGATAGGTAGATTCTTCAAGTACTGAGGAGTTATAAGATTGCCAAAACAGTCACTTTTCAAATAATTCTTTGTCACAGGAGTTAGATTTCACTTTTAAAAATCTGTGAGGTACTATATAGCATAAGCATCTACATAAAATAGCCTGAGAAGTCAGCTATGCACTTGTACTTTTTTAACTCAGTAAATTGGTAATTCAAAGACTTTGCTTTTTCTAGATCATATTAAAAAATAAATAGCATTTTACCTTTTTAAAAAGTATATCACAGGGTCCAAGGACACAGCTCAGTCACCTATTGCCTGCCTGCCAGGTGAAAGGTCTTGTGCTCAATTCCCCGTTCTAAAAAATATATTACAATTTTGAAAATTTAAGCTTTTTCATATAAAATATGACATGACTTTGTGTCTTAACAGGATTGAATCGAAAAATTTCCTACTCTCTGATTGACTCTGCTAATGGGCAGTTCTCCATTAATGAAGTCTCTGGAATTATTCACTTAGAAAAGCCTTTGGATAGAGAGCTACAGGCGGTATATACCCTTACTTTGAAAGCTGTAGACCAAGGTTTGCCAAGGAGGCTGTCAGCCACTGGCACTGTCGTAGTGTCAGTTCTGGATATAAATGACAACCCACCTGTGTTTGAATACCGCGAATATGGTGCTACAGTGTCTGAGGACATTCTCATTGGAACGGAAGTTCTTCAGGTGTATGCGGCAAGTCGGGATATCGAAGCAAATGCTGAAATCACCTATTCAATAATAAGTGGGAATGAACATGGAAAGTTCAGCATAGATTCTAAAACAGGTAACATGCCTTATAGAGAGGAAGCCCTTTATTTTACCTAAAGGACTAGATTTGTCTGGCACTTCACCATGTACCTACTGACAGGGCGCATATTAAGAATGGATATTCTAAAAAAGAACTCAAGGGTTTTTTGGTTTTGTTTAAAGTCGGAATAAAAGTGACTTGGAAGATTAAAGTCTCCAGTTCTGTTTGGTAAAATACATTTCTGCCATAATAACCGCTGTAATCTATAAACACATTAACTTAAAATAGAAAACTAGAGTATCACATTCCAATAGTTCCCTGATGATGTAAAGTGTTCCAAGACAGTAAAGATAAGAATGATTGATAGCGAAGGACCCTGTGCTGTTGCTCCTTTTATCCTCCATGTCAGATGTAATTTTCCAAGTAAAACCGTAGTTCTGACCTCTTAGATCTTATTTTCTGTGTGGCCAGCTGATAATTCTTTAAGTTGATTTTTTATTATGCTGGTTACATGTAACAGTATTTTGCATCCTATTGAGATTGCCCACGAGGTAATCTCAGACGCACTGTTGCCTCTTGCTGTATAGATACTGATGTCATCTTACCAAACTGTGTTCTGAAACGGCTGTCAGTCTCAGTTTAAAAATTCTTAATTGTTTAACTGTAGGTGACTATTTTAGATAAAGACTAGGTCTATGATGATGCTATCTTAAAAGGTTTTAAATATACATATGATAAAACAGTTATTTTTATGGTTCTTTTATCTCATATTCTTGTTAAGTAGGATGACTATAATGAACGGGCAAGGCAAAATGTTAGGAGAACATTAAAAAGGAATTTTAATGATAGAATGTAAATGAAGGATTTAAAAAAAATATGGATGTGCATGTCTAAAAAAGAATAAAAAAGCTGGCCAAATAGCTCAGTGGATTAAAGTGCCTGCAGGCAGGAGCAGGGGCCGGGATTTGATCCCTCAGTCTGCCCCCCGGGAGCGCTGAGAGGGCAATTGGGACTGGGCCTGGTGGTGCATGCCTGTAATCCCAGGGTGTAAACAGGCGGTTCACTACGAGTCCGATCTAGTAGTGAGACCCTGAGTATCCTGTAGACCCTTCCCTAAAAAAAAAAAAAAAAAAAAAAAAAAAAAAAAAAAGAAAAGAAAAAAGAAGAAATCAAAAGGCATAGAATTGAGGTTTATAAAATTACATTTTGTTTATTAAAATGTGTCATGAACTGTGACTAGGAAGAGATAGATATAATTATTTTTCTACCAGGATTATACGTAATATTGACTAGGGAAATGATTCAAATATTATAAGGGATATCAGGAAAATAATTAAGAGTAAGATAAGGTACCATGATTTATAGTTGTTGAGGTAAGGCACTAGGGAATATCGGTAGGTAACTGTCGAGGTGAAAAGTAATTTTTTTTAAAGTGTTATATTTTAATATTAGTAGCAAAAAGCTGTAGCATTATAAAGTACTGGGAGTAATTTTAGTTGTCTCTCAGGGGCCATTTTTATCATTGAGAATCTGGATTATGAGAGTGCCCATGAATACTACTTGACCGTAGAAGCCACTGATGGAGGCACGCCTTCGTTAAGCGACATGGCGACCGTGAGCATTAATGTAACAGATGTCAATGACAACACCCCAGCCTTCAGCCAAGACACCTACACAGCAGTGATCAGTGAAGATGCCATTCTTGAGCAGTCCGTCATTACAGTATGTGTTTCTCCCCCTATAGTTTTCTTACAGATTTTTATAAGTGTTTTTAGTAAAATCAGTCTAATTTTCATAATGGCTTTATTTGAAAATATTATAGAGCTATGAAAATGTCATTTGCTAGGCTAGTTAATGACTTCGTTATAAATAGCTGCCATGAAATAGCTTCAGTCCCTTCTTTGGCTGTCTGCTACATAAGAGTGTGATGTCTTCTAGGTTATGGCCGATGATGCTGATGGCCCTTCAAACAGCCTCATCCACTACTCTATTATAGAAGGCAATCGAGGCAGTCCATTCACAATCGATCCTGCCAAGGGAGAAGTGAAAGTGGCTAAACTTCTGGACCGGGAAACAGTATGTGTGAAACTTTGATTTAGAAGATTTACAAGTTTCCAGATGGATAACTGGAAGAGCTAGCTTTGTGGTCATTCTACGCATAGTGCAGTGTCCAAAAGGGTTGAACCAGCCTTCTCAGAAGATAGGACAAGAAAGTAAATAGTGAGAAGTAGTTGCCATTGGAAAATCACAAGAGTATAACTTCTTATGCTAATAGCAAAGTTTGGTAAAAGTTTGCATTCAAGAAGAAATCACAGTGTGTTCTAACATTCTGAGAACATTAATGAAACCAGAGGCTAAATTTTAAACTGGGCTTTAAATGACAACAAAGATTTGGAATACCCATTAAGATTAAAAGAAGAAATTCCCTGTGAGATATTCTATGAATATAGCATAGGAATTGAAACCATTATGGACTATATTTAAGAGACTTTACCCAGTTTTATCAGAATAATCATACGAAGAGGTAGAGAGAGATAAGTGAAAGGCAAATTAAGGGCCACATAACCTGAATGGAAGGGTCACGCTTGCTGCAAGCCTGACACAATGACTTAATCTCGTGAGCCAAATATATTGGGAGACATTTTGGAAGATTATGTTTTCAGTAGGTCCAAGGGTGTTAGAATAGAGGGAGATCAGGAGGAGTGGAAAGGCCATTGGCAGTTTATCTGTCACGGTTAGAACACCCACAGGGAGGGAAGGAGAGCAGGAGCTGCCACACAGAGATCAAGGCATGAAGCAGAAGTAAAGGAAAACTGGGCTTCGAGCATTGGAAGACAGTGATGATGAGGAAGGTAGCTTCAGGAAAAATGGATCTGTGTGAAACTTGAACTTGGAGAGGCAGTGAGAACTCTTTGAAGTTCTTTGTTTTATTTTCTGACCTGTCATTTCGGTGTAGGGATCCTCTTAAGAGTTTACGACGCATAACTGTTACATGTAGGATTGCTGTTCTGCTGGCAGAGTAAATTTTAGTGCTTTTTACATATGTGTGTTTATTGGGAGAGAACGTAGGAAGTAGTAGTTTTAGGCGTTTCCCGGGCTAATTCACCCCCACAGCCCTTTTTTGTGGGAGCATTGGCCAGCTTCCTGGCTTCTTCCCTCACTCTTGCTAGAAGAGGAAGTTCATCTGGGAATTTTATTTGAGCAAGCATTCTCACTCGACTTGATTCCTTTTAGAAGAGGTCACAAAGATAAACGTAAGCAATGTAGGACAGGCCAAGTGTAAAATCGATCAGGGTGTGACCTGGTCAGTCCTGGGTGTTAGAAGCAGGTCAGTTGTCAAAGGTGAGGGACAGTGTGGCTGAGAGGACGATTTGGTTCCCCACAGAAGGCTTGTTTTCTGTTATTACTAAAGCAACAGCATTCTGAGCAGCATGCTAACATTTTTTCCTAGTAATTTGTTTTACTTATTTCTATTAATAGCACTGCAGGTTATTTAAGGAAAATACTTGATGAGCAAGTTTTTGAGAGACTTTTCTGTTGAGAACATGTGTTACTTGCAGCATACTCACTTGTGGGTTAGCGAATTGTAGCTGTTGGGTGCAACAAATGATGACGGTTCCAGGTCATTGGCTATGTATGTGTGAAGGAAGATGCTCTTTTGGTCTTTTCTCTGGAAAGATTTCAGGTTACACACTGACAATTCAAGCTTCTGATAATGGGAGTCCACCCAGAGTCAACACCACAACTGTGAACATTGATGTGTCTGATGTCAATGACAACGCTCCAGCCTTCTCCAGGGGTAATTACAGTGTGATCATCCAGGTAAGCTTGTGTGTGAAAGGGTTCTTGGAATCCTTTTGAGCTCTTAAATTCCTATGTTTGTTTAGCTAGCTTTCTTTTCTGAAGATAGTTTTTTTAGAGAAGTAGAAAAAGTATGATTAGTCTCCATTAATATAGAAGATGTTCAACACACGCCCAAAATTTTATTTTCCCTCCTTTGTTTTTTGACTGTTAAGATAATTTCAGTTCCAGGACTGTAGGTTTTTCATAGCCATGTCTTGTGCTGCTCTTGATTTATGTCCTCCTCTCTTGATGTCACTCTTCCTCTACTTCTCTACCTCCTAATTCTTCAGCTCTACCCTCTTCACTCACACTCCATCACACAGCTCCTCCTTCTGTTGCCTCCATCTCCTCCCCCATGGCCTTTCCTCTCACACATGTTCCCTCTCCTCCCTCCTCTGCCTGCTGTTTCCTCCTGTACATCCTTTTCCTCATTTCCAGGAGAATGAATCAGCAATCAGCCTTTGTTTTCTGTGTATTTGATATTATAACAAAACCCTCATGTTCTGTTGCCGTATACAGTAGATTTTGTTATGTTGAGGGATTTTCATTGTGTTCTGTTTTTAATTTTGTATAGGAAAATAAACCAGTGGGTTTCAGTGTCCTGCAGCTTGTTGTGACGGACAAGGACTCTTCTCACAATGGCCCACCGTTCTTCTTTTCTATTGTGAGCGGAAATGATGACAGAGCATTTGAAGTGAACCAGCAGGGCATCCTCCTGACCTCAGCTGCCATACAGAGAAAAGTGAAGGACCATTACTTGCTGCATGTTAAGGTATTGAAATCTTACTTTATGCTTTATGGAAGATTAATGGAACTACTTGGTGGTTATCTTTTTATGTCTGAACAGCTTATGTTTCATGAGAAAATAATTTTTACAGTTATGATTTCTGCTTTAGTCCCCACACTCTTACTTTTGTCCCATTTCACTTTGCAGGGCCTCACTCATTTGTTTACTTCGTCATAGACAGTGAGGGGCTGAATTTTAATCTGAACTGGCGGTAGGCCTACAAAGAATCTGTGTACTCTTCGCTTCTCATGTGGAGAAATAGCTATCAAGCATTGGAAATTGTTAAAAATTTGAGCAGTAAATTTAGTTTTACAGTGTGTATATTAAGAAGTTGTAAACACTGGCAGAGACAACTGTGATTTTTCTCTTAGGTGGCAGATAATGGAAAACCACCATTGTCATCTTTGACACACATTGACATCAGGGTCATCGAGGAAAGTATCCATCCTCCTGCAATTTTGCCACTAGAGATTTTCATTACTGCTTTTGGAGAAGAATATGCTGGTGGGGTCATTGGGAAGATTCATGCCACGGACCAAGATGTATATGACACTTTAACGTACAGTCTCGATCCCCACATGGACAACCTGTTCTCTGTTTCCAGCACGGGGGGTAAACTGATCGCACACAAAAAGCTGGACATAGGGCAGTACCTTCTGAATGTCAGCGTGACAGATGGGAAGTTTACAACAGTGGCTGACATCACAGTGCACATCAGACAGATAACCCAAGAGATGCTGAACCGCACCATTGCTGTTCGCTTCGCCAACCTCACTCCAGAAGAATTTGTCGGTGACTACTGGCGCAACTTCCAGCGGGCTCTCCGGAGCATCCTGGGTGTGAGGAGGAATGACATACAGATTGTGAGCCTGCAGCCCTCTGAGCCTTACCCACATCTGGATGTCTTACTTTTTGTGGAGAAGTCAAGTAGTACCCAGTTTTCAACAAAACAACTTGTGCACAAGATTAACTCCTCTGCGACTGATATTGAAGAAATCATCGGTGTTAGGATATTGGACGTGTTCCAGAAGCTCTGTGCAGGTGTGGATTGCCCGTGGAAATTCTGTGATGAAAAGGTATCTCTGGATGAAAATGTTATGTCAACGCACAGCACAGCCAGACTGAGTTTCGTGACTCCGCGCCACCATCGCGCAGCCATGTGTCTCTGTAAAGGTTAGTGGCATGATGCAAGACAAAGGCAGCCAGCCTTGGATGACGACACCGGAAAGGTCATTACCTTACAATTCCTGGTAATCACCACCTCCCTCTTTTCTTTCCATAAAGAGGGGAAGTGCCCACCTATCTTCCACGGATGTGAAGACAGCCCCTGCCCTGCAGGAACGGAGTGCGTCTCTGACCCCAGAGAGGAGAGGTATACCTGCGTCTGTCCCGGGGGCAGACTTGGTCAGTGCCCAGGTGAGAAGTCAACAACCAAGCGCAGTTTGGTTTCACAGCATCATTTCAGTGTTCTTATAATTTTTTCTTTGTTAGAGTCAAAACACGATGTAAAATATATTCAGTCTACATTTTTCTTTTCCTTCTCAGGAGTGCTATGTCTCACACTGTTCCAACTTCTTGCTTCCTCAACTTAATAGTATTATTAAAGATGTCTTTCCAAGCCAATACATCTGAACCTAACCTTTTTGTACTGGCCACAAATGTTTTCCAGCATTCCTGTGCCACAAATTAGTCACTATTTTCCTTATGCGTACACTTTCCTGTTATGTTTCTGTTTAAAAATCCGTATGTGTTTATCCTTACATGGACTAGTACTTTCATTTGTTACAGTAGTCTAAAATTAGGGCTTACTGCATCTAAAATAAAGTATATTTAAAATTTTTAAAGCTATTATTACAAAGTTGAGTCAGGTGTTGCTTCATCTGGTCACGTATGAAGGTCTCATTCCCCATCTCTTGCCAGCATTTAAGGTTTTCAGCTAAAAGAAAAATATTCCTCTCTCAAAAGAACATGAAATAACACCCAATAATTTTTATTTTCAATTCTCTGGCTACATGTGACAGTTATCTTTTTCATTCGTTACCTAATAGCATTTCCTCTGGCTTCATTGTTTGATTGCTTGTTTGTTATCATCAGTGTGTTGAGCTTTTGTGTATTATGACTACAAACAGTCTCTTTATCACAGTCTCTCCCTCTTGATTTGTTAAGTGTCTTTGTCATTTTGGAAATTGTGTTTTACTTAGTCCATTCTACATAATGATGCTTAACAATTTTCACCTTTGAAAATTTGTATCATTTTCATCTGCTTTAGAGAATGTGAATTGTTTTACATTTTGCTTAAGAAGGTTTGTCAAACTACTTTGAGGGCATCTAATTATTTTTTCTGAAATTGTTTTATAATTCTAAATTGACCATTTTTCTATTGAGATATTTCATTATTTTAGGATTTGTGATAGTATAGTTTTTTCTCTTTCAAATGGAGAATCATATACAGTATGCTACTCATGAAACAAATGGGCATTTCCACATAGAAATTTAATTTGGTAATGATATAATCTTACATAAAAATTATCAGTCTCAAAGGGGGAGAAAGCATACTTCAAAAATCTGCGTAAATCTGGCTCTGATGTAACTTTTCCTGTTTGTGATTTGCAGGGAGCTCATCTATAACATTTACTGGAAATAGCTTTGTGAAATACCGCCTAACGGAAAATGAAAACAAATTAGAGATGAAATTGACAGTGAGACTCAGAACGTATTCTGCCCATGCAATTGTAATGTATGCTAGAGGGACTGATTACAGTATCTTGGAGGTATGTGTTTATGTAGGAATTGTTTTCATTTTTGTGTTTTTTGTGTTCTGGTATTGAATCTAGGGGCCTTCACACTGAGCTCTATCTCTAGCCCTTTTTTGTATTTTCACAGACTGCCTTGCTGAGTTGACTAGGCTGGCTTCACGCTACGATCTTTCTGCCTCAGCCTCTCAGAAAGCAGGAATCACAGGCATTTACCATTGTGCCTAGCTGTTTTGTGCACTTCTGTACCTCAGATTGTAGCAGACTTTAAAAATTATAAATTTATTTTCTGATGGTCCATTTTTTTAAAAAAGATTAAGCCATTTGAGTGAATCCATGTTTGTTTTATTTATTTGTTTTTGGTACCAGAAATTGAACTCAGAACCTTGTGCTTACCAGGCTAGTGCTTGTACCGCTGAGCTACATCTCTTAGTCTGAATCCCACATTTATTTATGTATTATTTATTTGTTTGTTTATTTATTTTGCAGTACCAGGGATTGAACTTAGGACACTTTGCTTGCTAGGCAGGTGCTTATGCCACTGAGTTATCTCCTCAGCCCAGTGAATCCCACATTTAAAGAGTTTTCTTTTTTCTTTTTATTTTTTCCATAATTTTATTGATAAACTACACAAGTTTTATGCATTGTGGGATAAGAAACTTTTTTTTTTTTTTTTTAATTAGTACAGAGTGTATAGGGTCTCACTCCGTAGGTAAGACTTACAGTGATCCTCCTGTTTTTAGTCTCCCAAGTGCTGGTGTTACAGTCATGCGCCACTGTGCCCAGTCTCAGTCGCCCTCTCCGCACACCCCGGGAGCAGGACTGGCACGGCACACTGGAATCGAACCCCAGTTGCTGCGCTCTGCCTAAGCAGGCGCTTTAGTCCACAGAAGCTCTTCTTTTCTCTGCATGATCATAGAGATTGACTTTTTTACAAATATTTTTAGGTATCTGTGACTTTTAACATTCAATCTCTAGCTAACTCATCTCAATGTTATAATGAATTTGTAATTTTCCTGTATAGATTAGAAGTGACAGTTATGCTCCCACTTTTCTTTTATTTATTTATTTTTTTTTAAATTTTTTTTAACATTTATTTAGTGTGTGTGTGTGTGTGTGTGTGTGTGTGTGTGGCCAGCTCAGCCCACCAGGGGGCGCGGCTGGCTGGCATGTGGTGCTGGAGGATCGAACCGCGGTCCCTGTGCTTTAGCCAAGCTTGTTCCAAGTAGGTGCTTTAGACCATTGAGCCATCTCTACAGCCCCTCCCACTTTTCTTTTAAATCATGGTTTTTAGTTTAGATATTGTCTGATGCTTTGTGTACGTGGTATGTGCTTGTGTATAAGTTTGTATGTGCCTTGTGTGCAGGGGTGCACTTAGTTACCAGTCATATCCACATTGCTTTTTGTATGTGCAATTGACAGTACCCTTAAAAGACCCATTTTATTATTTGTACAATGGGCAGATGTGCGTTGCTCTGTAGCACTCAGTGCAGGGCTGTACTCTTTCTACTTCATTTGCCAGACATTCTTCTCCTGTGTAGACTTTGGGTCAGAGACTAACTGAAGGTTCTGTGAGATTAATGTGGACAGCAAAAGTTTTTATTTTTATTATAGATTCATAATGGAAGACTGCAATACAAATTTGACTGTGGGAGTGGCCCTGGCATCGTCTCTGTTCAGAGCATTCAGGTCAATGACGGGCAGTGGCACGCCGTGTCTCTTGAAGTGAATGGAAATTACGCTAGGCTGGTTCTCGACCAAGTCCACACTGCATCAGGCACAGCACCAGGGACTCTGAAAACCCTGAACCTGGATAACTATGTGTTCTTTGGTGGCCACATCCGCCAACAAGGAGCGAGGCATGGAAGAAGCCCCCAAGTCGGTAATGGCTTTAGGGGTTGCATGGACTCCATTTATTTGAATGGGCAGGAGCTGCCTTTGAATAGCAAGCCAAGAAGCTATGCGCACATTGAAGAGTCGGTGGACATATCTCCTGGATGCTTACTCGCAGCTACAGAAGACTGCTCAAGTAACCCTTGTCAGAATGGAGGCATCTGCCACCCGTCGCCTACTGGAGGTAGGCTTCCTGGTATTAGGATCACATCTGAGTTCCTCAGCACTTTTTTTTTTTTTTGCTCTTGTTCAAACAGCACAAACCAATTAATAGCAGCATCAAAAGGCACAGTCACAGCTCAGTGGTGGTGTGTTACAGGGAGCAGGGCAGGGCTTGGCGTTCTTGCCAGCAGCCGGGCTGGAGAGCACCATGCCTGTGACTGCCGAGTGGCTGCAGTGGCACCTCCAGGGCTGAGCAAGACGTGTTTGCACGCCCAGCCCTGCACATGCCAATCCGGGGGAGGTTAAAGTTATTTTCACTTAGTTTGTCTTATCTTTCTTGTATTGTCATTTACCCAGTTGCTCACCACAGAGCGCCTGCCAGAGTCTTGCCAGTAGTGAGAAATGGAAGTGTTGGATCTTCTGGAAGGCCTCAGACCCCACTGACGTGCTACTTTGCATATCTGTCTTATGGCCCTAGTGTAGAGGTTTGGGGCCTCTGCACCCTGGACTTCTGTGGGGCCGCTTCTAAGTACTGATAGAAGACAGTTACAAATGTGGCCTTCTAAATAGAGCTTAGTGTAATTAATAGAGCAAAAATTTAAATAATAATAATTTCAATGAAATTCCAAAAGATTTGGTTTTCTTCTGTCTTTGAAAGGTGTGTTGATCATTAAAGCCAGTAGAGCAGGCCTGGTTGTCTCCACTGTCGCCGTCTGAAAATCTGACCTAAAACAGCATAGGTTTCTATTCTGCTCATACTAATTATATATCTAAGTCAGGACAGTGAGCAGGCTGGCCTCACGGTCCCTTAAAGTGAGGCTGAGAAAGGCTTTCCTTGAAATGTTCTACCATGACCACTAAAACTGAAGAAAAGAAGCTCAGCCACTGCACAGCGACTTCTCAGACTCCTAACTCCCAGCACCCAGTTCCTTTGACCAAAAACAAACAGACAAAAATCCTATAACTAAGATTGACTTTTTAAAGAGGCCGAGGAAATACTACATTGCTTCTTTCCCAAAGGCAGAGAGTCAGAAGGAGTCTGTCATACTACCCACATGTCACAGTGTTACAGAGCAGAGTCTGGTATTCTTTGTAATCATTGGACAAATTTGATCATTTCCATTATAAAACTGACAAGTGCTTTGCATGTTCATTTTCTTATTTAATCCTCCAATACTTATGGTCTTCAAATAAATTGGTATGTTTAGTAGTACTGTGTGTACATGTTCATGCAAAGGATGTTTTCATATACATGTTCACCACTCCTGTGTGGTGTGATTGGCCCATAACTGTACATAAGTTATGATTAAAACTAGCTGTGAAGAGACTGGGTGTGGTGGCGTGTGCCTGTAATCCCAGCTCTTGGGAGGCTGTAAATAGGCGGATCACTGCAAGTCTGATCTAGTAGTGAGACCCTGCACACCCTTCCCTAAAATACCAAAAAAAACCAAAAACGGACAAACAAACAAACAAACAAAAAAACAGCTATGATATCTAAAAAACTAGATCTCACTTCAGATCTTTGTGATTTGGTTGTTTCAGGAGTATCCCTAATCTGAAAATTCAAAATCCAAAGCGCTTCAAAATCGAAAACTTCTAGAGTACCAATATGGCTCTCAAAAGTTCAAATTTCAAGGTTCAGGATGCTCAACCAGTATGGAAGTTTTGCAGTTAGCCTGGAGTCCAAGGACTCCAAAATCTAATGACTACTAGTGCTGGCGTGTTGGATGGGGAGTATTTAACCTGTTCCAGTAGTAGAGTGCTTGTCCATGTGGACAACTCCTTACCCAGAGAAAGTGGGGATTTTACTAGTTTACGTAGGTATCAAGCTAAATTTTCACTTAAGTTTGAATCCATTCTAGTTCTTTCAAGTCACTGAATAATACAACTTTGTTTCTTTTGCTAATCTAGGTTACTACTGCAAGTGCAGTGCCTTACATGTAGGGACATACTGTGAGGTGAGCGTCAACCCCTGTGCCTCCAACCCCTGCCTGTATGGTGGTACCTGTGTTGTAGACAATGGAGACTTCGTTTGCCAGTGCAGAGGACTGTACACTGGTCAAAGGTATGTGCATGTGGCTTAACTTCTTTTAAACGTAATTCTGCATGCGAAAAGGCTTTGCATTCTTCACTTGTTAATGTTTCTTGTTTTGCTTTATCTGTGATAGGCTCATGAGACTCACACATGCTTTTGTTATTTTTCAGATGCCAGCTCAGCCCCTACTGCAAAGATGAGCCCTGTAAAAATGGTGGAACATGTTTTGACAGTTTGGATGGTGCTGTTTGTCAGTGTGATTCAGGTTTTAGAGGAGAAAGGTAAATGGTTTCTGCTGAGATTTATGTTTATACCTGTTCTGCAGCATCATGTTCATTAGAAGACACAACAAAACTTTGTTAATTCAAACTGCTTGCTTCACAGTTCGGTAATCCTCTTAGGCATTTTTAAAATTTATCTTTTTTTCTCTTTAAAAGAAAATTTTAAAAAGATAGATGCACTTCAAAAGCCGACTTACATTTTAGAGCCACTGTCTATAAACAAAGAATATATGGGTTCCCATAGGCAACAAATGTTTGTAAAGTGAGTGAGTTTGTCCTGTTTTTTAAAAGCAGGCGCTTTTAAAGCATACACACATTGATGAATCTGAACTCGTCAATATTTGAAAGCAGTGATAATAACTTTTTTCATAATGTGCTGTAAGTGACATTTATGGAGCATCTAGAAACCTTTTTCAGCGCTCTCATTATCTTGTATACTCCTTACCATAATCCTGAAATACAGTTAATATTTTTCTAGGTGACAAACGTTAGTTATGGACATGCCTATTGTATACATTGAAAAGTGAATGTGAAATTTCAGTTTTGGATAGATATTTTAATTTGGATTATTTATCAGTTCAGTTTAAAAAATTATTCATTATGGGTTATCTCTAAGTGTCTACAGCAGTACATTTAGATAAGGCTTTGCCCTCAGTCTTATTAAATGGCTCTTAGTGGGATCTGCTTGCAGATGTTCCTGTGGTTTTCCTTAAAGTACTTTATAAGGCTAAATTTGGCCACGGTCATGTGGTCTTACTTAGTTAAATTGCCTTTCTTGATTCTAGTCAATGAATATTCTTACATTATTTGACAAAACATACCAGTAATTGGAATTTTAGGTGAGTATGAAAGAGGGTGAGATGAATTTTATTAAAGGAGGAGGGAAGGTTTGAGCAGTGGCCGGTGCATCTGCTCATGTACACAGTCTGCCCCTGTTTGGAAAGGCAGAGAGGACATCTTACAACTTGAAAGAGTAAGGAGCTCGGGAAAGTTTTCAGTAGGAATAACATTTTAAAATAGAAAATAGAGCGTTTTCTAACTTCTCAGATGTTGCACACAGCTGTCATAGTCCCAAACTAGAACAGTGTCTTAGAAACTTAATCTATCCTCCCATTTATCAAACATGCACCCCAAATTTCTGAAAAATATGGCTTGGCTATCAGAATTAGAAAGTGTCTACAGCAGTACATTTGGATAAGGCTTTGCCCTCAGTCTTATTAAATGGCTCTTAGTGGGATCTGCTCGCAGATGTTCCTGTGGTTTTCCTTGAAGTACTTTATAAGGCTAAATTTGGCCAATTCAGGCCTAATGGATTGAGTTACTGGTCTGTTGAATACTAGAAAAGCAGAAGTTAAATATTGGTTTGATATCTTTGTGTCATATACGTTCAAAGCACAGAATCTAGTGATTATCACAAAATCATTGTTGTCATTATATTTTCTTATTTTTTCATATTCGGCTTTGTTTGGGTATGTCATGTTAAGGGAGGATTTTAGTGCTTAGTTTCTGAACTGTTGTTGGCCTGAGCTACTGCACGTGTCTCTTTTCTCATCCTTCTCGGCAGGTGTCAGAGTGATGTTGATGAATGTGCTGGAAACCCCTGCCGAAATGGGGCCCTTTGTGAGAATACACACGGCTCCTACCACTGTAACTGCAGCCATGAGTACCGGGGCAAACACTGTGAGGAGGCCACTCCCAATCAATACGTGTCCACCCCCTGGAATATCGGATTAGCGGAAGGAATAGGAATTATTGTGTTTATAGCAGGGATATTTTTGCTGGTGGTGGTGTTTGTCCTCTGCCGCAAAATGATTAGTCGGAAGAAGAAACACCAGGCTGAACCTGAAGACAAACATTTGGGTCCAACCACAGCTTTCTTGCAAAGACCATATTTTGATTCAAAGCTAAATAAGAACCTTTACTCTGACATCCCACCCCAGGTGCCTGTCCGCCCCATTTCCTACACCCCAAGCATTCCTAGTGACTCTAGAAACAACCTTGACCGGAACTCCTTTGAAGGATCAGCCATACCAGAGCACCCCGAGTTCAGCACCTTTAACCCGGAAGCCATGCATGGGCACCGAAAAGCTGTGGCCGTCTGCAGCGTTGCCCCAAACTTGCCTCCCCCGCCACCTTCGAACTCTCCTTCCGACAGCGACTCAATCCAGAAGCCCAGCTGGGACTTCGACTATGACAGTAAGAACAACTTTTTCCATCTCACTGAAACCGCACTGAGATAAATAGTGAGATTATAAGTTATGCCACAGCCACTGGCAGTTCCAGTAAGAATGCTGGATTTGTATTAAAGATGGGCTCAAAGTCCAAAATTCTTAAACTTTGGAAACCTTTTTGGATGTCTTGAGTGCTGGCTTGGCATTTTGGCTATGATGTTATTTTTAAAAAGCAATTAATTTTAAGAGAGGGACATGAATTTAAATCTCTGAAATCTATTCAACTTGTTTAGGTCAAAGATGAAATTTATCCTGAGTAACTCTATTCCTTCTTTGAGTATCAAACTGATTGGTAGTCACTTATCCAAGTACAATCAGTGCTGCTGCTGCTGCTTCTTTTTTTTTGGGGGGGGGTGGTACTGGGGATTGAACTCAGGACCTTGTGCTTTCCAGGCAAATGGTTATTCTACTGAGCATTTTACAGCTTCTTGAATGAAATATTAGTAAAGTCAAAAAGACAGATTAAAACAATTTTTTTATTACTTCATTTGTCATTGTGTTCCTTGACTGCCCAGAAACAAATAATTTACCACCTGTTTAACTGTATATTTCTGACTGCTTTGACCAATCTAGTCGAATCATATAGCTGTTGTAAATTTCAGAATTGAATGAATTATTTTATTCTTCTGTTCTCATACTTAGAAATTTAGGTCCCAGGGGCCAGGGAGATGGCTCAGTAGAATAAGCACTTGGGCTTGAGTTCAATCCCCAGTTCCACCAAAAAAAAGGAAGGAAGGAAGGAAGGAAGGAAGGAAGGAAGGAAGGAAGGAAGGAAAGAAATACATTAATTTAGGTCCCAGATTGGTAGGTCCAACTGCCCTTTCCAAATTTGTAATTTAGCTTTTAACTTTTTAAGTCTAAATTGTATTGAAGAGAATATATATATAT